AAAAAAAAAACCTGTGTTCAAGGTAGGCAATTATAAAATTAGGAAAGAATATGGTGCAAGGAAGAAGAAAATAATTGGTTCTCTTCAAGGCTGAAGCTGTGCCATTTGAGAACAATGAAAAGATCCAAGGACAGGGAAATTTAAGGTACTGCATTGGCAAGAGTGTAACTAAAATGAGGGACCATGGACCCACTGTGGAAAAAGAAGGAAAGTGGAGAAAGGAGACTGATAGGTCAGGACAAAGAAAATGGGACAATGGACTGGAAGATCTACTGAGGTCAGGGAATGGTTATAACTGAAGGAGTTGCAAAGGTAAACCAAAAGTAGGCTAAGAATAGGGTTGTCTACATTAAGATTGTAGAGGTAAAACAATCAAGACTGACAAGTCCCAAGTGAGACTGTGAAGTAAATGGCTGAATTGGTATAAGAAAGCTCATTACAGAGAAAAAGGGCAAAGATTTAAGTGGCCATGGTGTCATGTGGGGCACCCAGGTGGACCCTGAAATCACAGAAGATGTGTAGAGCAGGTTAGAAAATCCCAGACATGCAAGGTTAAAAAAAACGAAGGTCAGTTAACATCAATTTTAACTACAATCGGTGAATACAAAATTTAGATCAGTGGTTTTTAAACTATAATTGCCACAACCACAGGTCACCTGAGTATTGTCTCAAAGACTACACCAGGACATGGCAGAAGGTAAAACAGCAGCTTCGATTTTATGTTTCCTATACTAGGGGATATGCTTAAGATTACAATTTTTTTTCAATGTTGTGCCATTAAAAGAAAGTTTAAAAAGCACTTATCTAGTTTCATTTCCTCTTATTATTTGGAAAACTTACCTTCTCATATGCATTTTCTAGAAATTCAATTGGACTTTTCCCAAATGCTATGGCATGCCCAAGGAACGGAATTGGAGAGTAAATGTATGGTGGACTTTTCTGCAAGAAAAAAAAAAAATTCAGTTCTCATTTCATTTTAAAAGAGAAACCCAGTTTAGTTTCACGACCAAACAAGTAAATAAAATTTGCCATTAATACTAAAAAAAGTTACCAAAAAACGAAGCATCAAAAGTAACTTAAGAGCAGTCAAACTGCAAATATCTTAGGAGAGTAACTATCGTAAAAAAGAACAGAAACTCAAAACATAGTTTGAGATAAATGATTACAGACAAACACAAAGGCACTACAATTTTAAATGATGAACACTGTCTAGAATCTGGCCAGTATTACTGGTGTCCAGGCAATTTTTAATGATGAAAAAACAAAAGTGGAGGCCGGGCGCGGTGGCTCACGCCTGTAATCCTAGCTCTCTGGGAGGCCGAGGCGAGTGGATTGTTTGAGGTCAGGAGTTCGAGACCAGCTTGAGCAAGAGCGAGACCCCCTCTCTACTAAAAATAGAAAGAAATTAATTGGACAACTAAAAATACATAGAAAAAATTAGCCGGGCATGGTGGCGCATGCCTGTAGTCCCAGCTACTCGGGAGGCTGAGGCAGGAGGATCGCCTGAGCCCAGGAGTTTGAGGTTGCCGTGAGCTGGGCTGGCGCCACCGCACTCACTCTAGCTGGGGCAACAGAGTGAGACTCTGTCTCAAAAAAAAAAAAAAAAAGGATAGTTTTCAAAAGCGACTTTTTGTTCACTGTTAAGGGTGCATTCATCCAATATATTTGGGATGTGTAAAGCTAGTGGTCATTAAAGCCATTTAATTGGAGAAACTGGCATTTATTAGCACCAGCAGAAGACCCTTACCACACTCCAGTCACTCCCACTCTACCAAACGGAACATATCCCCCTTAATATAGATATAAATCGCCGTTATGGGCAATGCTACAGCCCACATCACGCTGAAAGGCCGCGGCTGCCAATGCCATCACCATCAGGGCCCCCACCACGGGCCCCAACGCCATGACGGCAGCCAGCATGGCCAACAGGGGGCTCAGGGTCACAGCTAGGGCCACAGCCGCCAGTCCAGCCTCCTATGTCCCCCCTCCCTTCTTGGAGACAGACTTTGTAACCCATTAACAGGCCTAAGGGTATGCAAGACAAACCTGCAGGTCCTCAATCTACACAACAAATTTACGTCCTGTGGCTTACCTCTGATAAACAGCTCCTTACGTTGAAACATTCCAGGCCTTTAGACAAAGCTTCATGTCTTTAACCAATTACAAGCCAAAGAGTCTTCAAACCCACCTATAATCTGTAAGCCCCCGGCTTCGAGATGGCCCACCTTCTGGAGCCAAACCAATATATGCCTCCCATGTATTGATTTATGACTTTACCTGTAACCCCAGACTGCCTGAAATGTATAAAACCAAACTGTAACCCAGCCACAGTGAGTCCACTGCTCAAGACTTCTTGGGCCTGGCTCCAGGTCATGATCTTCAAATTTGGCTCAGAGTAAATCTCTTTAAAATTATTTTACAGAGTTTGGTTTTTTTCCGTTGACACCCAGGACCGTGAGCGCGGATGCCCCCCAGGGACAGCCAGCCTGGCCACGGAACCGGTCAGCTCCGCGGTACCATTCATGCCAGCCCTTCTGTCCCCTTAGCCACGGCGCCCCCGCCTAGGCCCAAGGGGTGCACGTACCGCTCCAGCCGGCAGCTGGACTAGGTGGCCGACAGCGAGGCGGAGTAGGTAGACCAGGCTGAGGGTGAAGGCGCAAGCGACCAGCAGCATGGACAGAAGGTTGCCGCCCGTCACCTTCTCCATCGCTTGTCCCAGCACCGACCCGCCCGCCTGCAGTAAGCCCAGCAACACCATCCTGGCCGCTGCTGCCGCTTTGCTCCGCTGGAGACACTGGAGGCCAAGGTCGCCACCGCTCCTCCCAATCGACGGACCGAAAGAAGCGGAAGATGCGCGTCCAGAGGCAGCCCCAGCCCCCAGGTCTCCTACTAAACCCAGTGCCCCGCCCACTCCCGGCTCTCCCACGCGCCACCGGTGCGTCACAGAACGGGGCGGGGGCTGCCGCTGGCTACGCCCCTTAAATAGCGCTCTACCATGCGGCCGTCTCCTTGCGCCAAAGGGAGGAAGTGAGGGAGCTGGCTGCGCCTGTGGCATAAGTGGTACGAGGCTAGCAGAGAACATGGGCCAGCCATCACGCCCTGAGAATCGCGGGGCGCCAGACACAGCGTTAGAGGGGCCGGGCGGGGGGACTGGGCAAAGAGACCGGGCGGAAGGACCGGGCGGAGGGATCCCGGGGGCGAGGCTGATGGGGTCGCGACGGGCAGCTGCGCACTCTGTGATTGCACCGCGCGCGCCTGAGGTGATCTCGGCCTATGTCGCGTCAGCGGAGCTGTGGCGTGAGCGCCGCCCCCTGCCTGGCGTTCGGACCGCCTGCACCTGACGCCGTTCGGAGGCCATGTCTTGGGGACTCGGAGAGACATCCCCAGATAATCCCTCGGGGCTTGGGGTCGTAAAAAGTGAGGTCATAGGCTGGGCGCGGTGGCTCACGCTTGTAATCCTAGCGCTCTGGGAGGTCGAGGCAGGAGGATCGCTTCAGCTCAGAAGTTGGAGACCAGCCTGAGCAAGAGCGAGACCTCGTATCTTCTAAGAATGTAAGAATGAGGCGGGCATCGTGGCGCGCGCCTGTAGTCTCAGCTGCTCGGGAGGCTGCGGCAGGAGGAATCCGTGAGCCCAGTAGTTCGAGGTTGCAGCGAGCTAGGCTGATGCTGCTGCACTCGAGCGGGGGAGGTGAGGGAGAAAGTGAGGTAATGAAGAGCTGATTACCCACTGAAGCGTGGGAAGATGAGGTCAGCCCTGTCCCATCCTAGTTAACATACGTAACCTAAACATACGTATCCCCATAATATGCTTAAATAAAAAAAAAAAAATCAGTTGAACAGGTATTAGTATACAGCCATAAAGACATTGACTGCCAGGTGAGTTGTATTTAACTCAGGCTAGTTTTGCGCCTGGGGCCTCATGAAGCAAAACCCTGCAATTGGTTCCTGGAAATGTTACTTGTTGATGGTTCTTATTGTTACATTTAATATTGACAATTTAATTCTAAAAACGTGGATTACATCGCATATAATTCATGCACAGAAAACAATAAAAGATAAAATAGGATCGTTTTAATAAGACACCGTGGCCCCAGGGAAAAATTTTTTTTTCTAGTGTGGTAGTCAACGTGTTAACAAATGGTGGTTATTAGGTATGCTGAGTTATGGGAAAACTGGTTTTTCAAAATAAATGTAGATGTTATAGGATGTGACGAGCTATTTGGAGAAACATTCCCTGAGAATGCCACTTATTCTGAGGGTGTAGTGGCCAGAAAGATTTTGAAGTGGAGTTGTAGTCCCACAGCTATAATCAACCTGATCTGATTCACCCCTGTGGCTTCAAATAAGCATCTTCCTTAAAAGGAGTACCAAATGTAACTCTTTCCAGTTCACTAACAGCAGCTCCTGAGCTGATTCATTTGAATGTTCAAGGAACCTCGAGACAAGTTTTATGTTAAGCCTGGAATACAGTAGCAAATGAGACAGAACTGCACAGCCCTTGGGGAATGAAAAGGATATTGCCCGCTAGCAATCTAACATTCATCACAGTCAGTAAATCCAAAGCTACAACCATCTTCTCCTCCCACGCCTCTGCCAACCTGCCTCTCCTGCGATGCCTATGTAAATAAAGGGCATCACTGTGCACACTGTTGCCCTCCTCTTTCATGCTTCACATCTAATCGGTCAGCAAATCCTATAATTCCACTAAAAGGTGGCCTTTCTAATAACCTGCCTAACAGAGGAAAATGAACTATCAAATAAAAAGTCAGAGAAATAAACTCACTGCACATAATTGCCCTTTTGAAGAGGAAACTCAACACAACTACCCCTTTTGTTTTAATTAAACACCTGTGGTCTAACTCCTTATCTCTAAGAGTTTGTTTCTCGGCCTTGAAGAGTCCTAAGCAGACAGGAGCCCGAACTTCCCACTCCAGCTCTCTGCCTCAGTTCCTGCCAGAACACATTTGAAGCACTCAGATAAGCTGGCCTCGCAGAGAAAAGAGAAAAAATAAAGAGCACCTGCAACAGCTTTGCAGCCACTTCTGTTGTGAGTCTGCTGAAGCAGAGAGGGGAAAAGCTATTTTTACCCTTTAAAAACTCCAGACAGCTTTTCCTCAGCTGCCCAGCACTTCCCTCCTTCCTCCATGGCCACTCCCTCCTTTTCTCTTTCTCTGTCTCTCTTTCTTTTTCAGAAAAATAAACTTTTTACTACTTTTTAATCTTTGGGTGAGAAATCTTTTCTGTGCCCATGTACGAATTTCCCATGCTTTCATCCACCACCTTAAAAATTTCACCTTGGCCGGGCGCAGTGGCTCACGCCTGTAATCCTAGCTCTCTGGGAGGCCAAGGCGGGCGGATTGTTTGAGCTCAGGAGTTCGAAACCAGCCTGAGCAAGAGCGAGACCCCGTCTCTACTAAAAATAGAAAGAAATTAATCAGACAACTAAAAATATATAGAAAAAATTAGCCGGGCATGGTGGTGCATGCCTGTAGTCCCAGCTACTCGGGAGGCTGAGGCAGAAGGATCGCTTGAGCCCAGGAGTTTGAGGTTGCTGTGAGCTAGGCTGACGCCACGGCACTCTAGCCCGGGCAAAAGAGTGAGACTCTGTCTCAAAAATAAAAAATTTCCCCTTGCCTATCGCCACTGGCTTAGGTAAGGCCCTCACCATCTCACGTGTGCATTGCTGCAACAGTATCATATCTAACCTTCCAACCTTTGGGCTTGTCTTTAATCTGTCTGGTTGTTAAGACATCACTGTCACTTCTTAAATCACTAATTAAGCTATGCTGTAATCATCTCCACAGGTTTCCTCTATTAGAAGGTAGACTTGAGAACAGTTTTTATATTATGTGTTTATCCTAATACCTATCAAAGCAATTATCAAAGTATGATCCATGGCCCTCCAGAAGGCCCCAAGACTCTTTCAGAGAGTCACAAAGTCAAAGGTCTTTATAACAATATCTTATTGCTTTTTTTACTGCTGGAATTTATAGTAACGTTACAAAATCAGTGGTAAATAAAACTTCTGGGGCCCTAGCACAAATCAGAGACAGTAGCACCAAACTGTTGCCACATACCTGTAAGACGAAAGGAAAAAAAAAGCCTGTTTCACTTTAGAATGTCAATGAAATTGTGAACATTAATTTTATTAAATTTCAACCAATGAGTATATCAACCTAAAGAAAGAAACTGAGGCAAAATTAATGTAGAGTTTATTTGGGCCAAGGTTGAGGACAACTGCCAAGGATACACTTCCAAAAGAGTGCTCTGGAGAGCAAAGGAGAGGCTCAAGTTTTTTTGTTTTTTCGTTTTTTTTTAAAAAAAGGACAAATCAGGAGAGGGAATGATTACGAAAGTTGTTTGCCAGGAATTCTCGTTGGTTTACAGAAATTAGTGATTGGCTGTACATTGTTGGACTACAGGGTATGAGTGAAAGTTTGCAGTGTATTGCATTTTATGGCTACTTGGCATCAGTTAGTCTAGAGCCACATAGCAAGTAGCTTCAAGAGGTCATTATTTAGGAGAGTGAGACATGACTGCTCTTTCATTCCAATTCCTTTCTGGGCCCGATAACTTAAAGGGGCTTACATTCCTCAGATAAAAGCTTTCTTTTCTTTCTCAAGTACATGTATTTTTAACCAGCTGCTTTTTTCAAAAAGTAGAATTTTGGCATGAAAGAACTACTGACAAACTATGGTAATTCAGGTTTCAGGTAATACAAATGTCTTGTATATTTGACAGACATTTTCCTGAAAATGAACAAAATCATCCTGTCCCTTCAAGGAAAACAACTGACAGTATTTGTTGTTGATGATAAAATTAAAAATTTCAAATAAAAATAAAGAGTTTTGAAAAACTTTTTTTTTTTTTTTTGAGACAGAGTCTCCCTCTGTTGCCCGGGCTAGAGCAACCTCAAACTCCTGGGCTCAAGCAATCCTCCTGCCTCAGCCTCCCAAGTACCTAGGACTACAGGCATGCACCACCATGCCCCGATAATTTTTTCTATATATTTTTAGTTGTCCAGCTAATTTCTTTCTATTTTTAGTAGAGACGGTATCTCCTTGTTCAGGCTGGTCTCCAACTCCTGAGCTGAAGTGATCCTCCTGCCTCAACCTCCCAGAGTGCTAGGATTACAGGTGTGAGCCACCGCGCCCAGCCTTGGAAAACTTCTCTATCTACCACTGTGAACTTGATAGCTTCTCAGCTCTTGAGATTTCATACAGAGAAAATTTTAGTAACAAAAGAATTTTGTATAATGAAATGTGTCAACACATGGAAGATTTGCATAATTCAATAAAATAATATTTTCAAATGATCAATGCATGATGTTAAAAACACACTCAAAGTACAAATTAGACCAGTGAGTTTTCATGTGACAGAATATGAAAAGTTCACTAATATGAGTTCATATTCTACATTTCAACTAACCTTTAAGATACTATCACTTATAAATAAGAATATCCCTAATTATCTGAAAAGGCTATTAAAATATTACTCCTTTTTCCAACTATACATCTGTGTGAAGTGAGATTTTCTTAATATACTTCAACCAAGATGATATAGAAAGCACAATAGATAGAATACAGAAGCAGATAAGAGAATTCAACAGTCTTCCATTAAGCCAGGTGTAGAAGAAAATTACAAAAATCTAAATCAGCATGCTCCTTCTCACTACATTTTTTGTTTTTGAAAATAGAGCTATGTTCATGAAAGTGATAGGTAGACAGCCAGGAACCTCCAGCCCCTCCTGGGGACAAAGCCTGGTGCCCTGAGCAATTGCTACATCTGGGGGAAATTGAACACGCCATTCAAGTTCTGTGATTCCTGGCTGACAGTGGGTACAGGATGTCCCATCCCAAAGCCCAACTGGCTCAACCTAAGGAGACCTACCTGGGGCTTATTCTCACCCTGGGAAAATGTGAGCTGTCCTTGGAGTACGTCT